CTTCAGCCCCCAGTGAGGTTGCTGAGGGACCATGTCTCTAAGGTCCTTAGAAGCCCTTTTAAGCAAGCCCTTAAATATGTGTGAAGTCTTAACAAAGGATCTTTCAGTTCCATCCTTAACCTAATCTTTATACAGAGACCGTATTTTACTGCCCTGGATTTGAAGGTTTTGCTTGGAGATACTAGAATGAGAAAGTTATCCTTTCTAATCCAGCAAGTCCTGGTTCTATTTCCTCTAAGTTCTACTCAAAAAACAAAGTAGTTTCTTCTTTAACTCATCTCCGCTTGTCTTTTAGCATAAGCAACTAGAAAAACTCAGATGGCCCTTCCTCGTTCAACCTGGAACTCTCCCTCGTCAGATCCATGAGTTCATTAGATATCCTTTCCATTTGTCGAGCTATGACAGGCAACAGTTTTGCCAGCTGCCCCACCAGTGTGTGACTCAGGTGTTCTTTCCTCCAGCGTCCACGAACAGTTTTCTCGGTGTTCTTCAAGTCCCTTCCAAGAGTCTTCTGTTATCTTGCAGCTCTCGATAAGGGTTCTTGGAAGGCACTTCTAGCTTCTGTCCACTGTCCAATCCCAAAGCCAGTGCTTTAAGTTTTTGTTACAGCAGCACCCTACTTCCAGCTGCCAAATTTTGTTCTATATCTGTTGCTGCCTAACAAACCACTCTAAAACCTCTTGTCTCAAAGTAGAGAATGTGTATTAGAAAGAATCCAAAGCATTCTATACTCTGTATTTAATGGACTACATGAAAAGCGTTACCCTTCGACATATGCTTGCCCAAATGATTTTTCTCTTCTTTTTAAAAAAGATTTTTTATTGATTTTTTAGACAGTGAGGAAGGGAGAGGGAGAGAGAGAGAAATATCAATGTTAGAATGAAACATTGATTGTCTGCCTCCTCCTGCATGCCCCCTACCTGGGATTGAGCCTGCAGCCCTGGCATGTGCCCTGACCAGGAATCGAACCAGCAACCTTTCGATGCACAGGATAGTGCTCAACCAACTGAGCCACACCAGCCAGGATGGAATGATTTTTCTTTTTCTGCCTATTTCTATTCAGAATATAACACATCACTTCATCACTCTCTCCCTTTGGCTGTCTTGAGCACTGGAAGTAGATTTATTTACAGAAGGTAAAACAAAAGAAGGAAGGCTAGGGGAAGAGAAGAGATAGAGGCAGGAATGACTTTGGACATGTCAGAAGATTATCATCATGTGGTAAGATAGCAATTGTCCAGGTGTCTGATTTGTGTACCCCTGAGTCCCAAAGCTAGTGGCAGGAGATTGAACAAAGTTAATATTTATTCCTAGCTGTTTTCTGGAGGGCTGAATTATTAGGGGTTGGAGAGAGTACTTATGCTAAACCCAGCTGCAAATGTATATAATAAAGGGAAGAACCCCCCCCC